GAGTTTCTATTCATATATTGCCTTGTCATTTTTCTCTGTCTTAATATAAAGGGTTTCGTATATTTTTGGAACTAAATAAATGCAGGTTTGAATGGTGAGAGCATGAGTTAAAGTAAGTGTGCAAAAGTACAAGTTACAATGTTGAATTTGTTGTCTGTACGTTTGTTGTGTGAAAAAAGAGAAAATTCAATCAAAATATATTGGAGAAAAAACAAAACAACGAACAGTATTAACTGCAACATGTAAAAAGTTGCTTAAAGCAGGGTGGTCACAGCCTTCTGGTTTATTGGACCACAGAGAACAAAAACACATCTTTCTAAATCCAGACCACTGCTTTAAAAGATAAGACGTTACAGGCTGAGAGGATGAGGCCTCCATGCTAACCCAGACTGTGTGTGATCTGCTTTGTTTCCAGTCTGAACAGCAGCTTAAACGCCTTAGAGGAAAAAAATCAGCTCTCACACTCCACTGATGTCGTGTTAGAGCTATCTGACTGGTGTAATTTAATCAAAGTAGTGGCTGAAGATGTGAGATGGGGACTGGGCCTTAATCTCTTATCGGCCCTTAACAGCTTTTGTGGAGCTAAGTGTGAAGATTTCTGTGTGTTCAGACGGGTTTGATGCCGGGCTGTGGCATGTTTATGGCACCAAACAGAAAATCAGGCTTTATCTCTCCTGAAGAAAATCCTCTGGATCGGCCTGAGAGTCTCCAGATAATCCCCTTTTTTTGGGCTGTTTTCTGATGGCTCTCGTCTGTGTTTGACTTCTCGATAGCGCCCTGAACCCACAGAGACTAAAGCTCTTAACCCTATAATGCCAAATGTATCATATTTGATTCACATGGTTTCTGAAGTCTTTTGGATCTGAGACTTTCTGCATCATTCAGTGGTAAAAGCTTTGCTCAAACCCCTGTTGTACACATTCAGATATACCTGATAACAGCCAGTAGAAGACTACACCTAAATACATTTTTGACTTATTGCACGCTAATTTGATCAAAAATAATTACTGTTTTTTATTCTTCATATGTTGTTGAGGGGCCAAAGAAAGACTCCAGACTAAAAAAAATCCAATATTCTTCCTATTTTTCTTGGATCGGGCTTTAAAGGGCTAAAGCCATTGGTTTCTCTGGCTGGTAGCTCGGCTGTTTGTGTGGCCCAGTAAAGCTTCCTTCGGGGTAATGGTGTTTAGTTTTCTCTTTCTCTCTCATGCTGAGCTAAGAGTATTTTATTGGGAGTTACCCTGACAACGCTTTAGCCTGCTGGATATGGAGGCCTGCGCAGCAATTCCAGGAAATAGAGCCACTTCCTCACTCAGTGCGAACAACTTCCTGCCCTCTGCCGTGTGGATGTGTGCCAGGAGTCGGGGACCCGCTCGTGTGCTCTCTTTTGTCTCGTGTTTTCTAATGACTTCCCCAAAGCCGCGCACAGCTGGAGGCTGCAGACCCACGTTTTTACTGCTCTCCCAATACTGCTCTCTTCTGATATTCAATTCAATTCAATTCAGTTTTATTTATATAGCGCCACATCACAACAACAGTTGTCTCACAGCGCTTTCCAAACAGAGCAGGTCAGACCCTACTCTGAAGTTAACTACAGAAACCCAACAATTCCTGATATCTGACCATCTTTTGCTCTGCATTTGACCATATTTTCATATTTTCCAACAGCTTGAACCTCTGCTGTGGTGGTAAAGCAGTGGCTTTGTGATATGTGGAAGCAGGGAAACAAAAATAATTGGCTTTTATTTGTGTTCTCTCCTCGGATTTTAAGCTTTTCTAAGCTGATTTAGCAGATTCTGTGCTGGTTATTGACACGTGTTGGCATGTTTTTGGCTCTCTGTAGAAACTGGATCAGAACCTGTTATGTCAATATGACTTTATTTAATTTCATGCAGGTTTTTCTGATCATTTCACTGTGATTTTTCTCATTCCACCTGTTTTGAAACGGGTGCATGAAGGTGATGATGCAATCATGAAATGAAAGGTTTGAATAGCTCTGAGAAACATTTTGAGATCAATGTTAACTTTTGCAGGGCTTCCCTCCAAATGAAATGCAAAGTTTCACCAAACAGAAAAAGATTAGGTGAATGAAATTTGAATTGATTTTGAATTGTTACCCAGACATGAAGGAATGGGGTTAAACAAAGAGACACGTTTACAAGTCAACCTCAGATATGTGAGGATTAAAGAAAGCCTGTCGACAATAGAGAGGGTTCCTATAACCCTTTCTGTTTGTACTCCTTCTACCTATTGATCAATTTTCCCATTTTTTAAAAACTATTTATGATTTGAATTGGAAATGTGATCCGTTTTTTCACCTGTTGATCTGCCATAGTGATCAATCAATTAATCAGATAAATAGCATCTTTCCTTTTCTTTGAAGATCTCGTGATGTAAATGTATTAAATTGTACCAAAACTCTAATTAAAAAAAAAATCCTATATCCTACATATCCAAATTTTCGCTGGGGATTTTGTCATATATGAGGGTGCTTTTCTACATTTATTTGAATAATTTTGCAATTGAATAAGCAATTTTTAGGCTTATAAAATGGAAAATGGTATAAAAATATTTCAAATATATATTAGAACATATTAAAAGGTTATTAAATGTGAATAAGATGGGCAGCGTGCAGCAGATGAGCAGACAAAAACTCACAAGGCAACTACTGATGGACGAGAGGGGACCAATTACCCATAAAGCATTAGAATTACGCTGGTTTAAGGAAAAGAAGGAGAAATAAAAATAAAACACTGGCTGGATGTTATTCTTTTTGGACTCATTTAAACTTTTGGATCTGCGGACCTGGATGTTTAGTGCTGAGATTCTGGGACCTGACGCCTGTAAACTCCTCTTTTCCATCGCTTTTCTACACACAGAAACACCTAAAACGATAAGATAAGAGGGGAAATGGCAGAAAGAAGGAGAAATAAAAATAAAACACTGGCTGGATGTTATTCTTTTTGGATTTATTTAAACTTTTGGATCTGCAGACCTGGATGCTTAGTGCTGAGATTCTGGGACCCGATGCCTGTAAACTCCTCTTTTCTACACACAGAAACACCTAAAACGATAAGATAAGAGGGGAAACGGCCGAAAAGGCCTGAGGATGTGTGACCAGAGGGGTCTGACCGACGGCAGGCTGCTGCCCAGGTGACGTCTGTGTTTTCCTCGGCCCCCACCGAAGAGTTCTGCTGTTGACTCAGTCGATCGGCCCTTATCTAGCCTCTCATTCCTGGGAAAAGTTCTTGTCTATGCTTCATTGATAGCGAAGTGTGAGAACGGCCGGACAGAGAGGATGAAATGTTGGTGTTGGCACTCCGGATTACAATCCACTTTTCATTAAATCAGTGTGTGGATTTCCTGTTTGCTTTATTCCGCCCAGGCCAGTTGCTTTGGAGGCATTTTCCAACCTTCCTCTGGTCATCTCTGTAATATTTCTGACCCAAATCTGCTGCGATCAGCACATCTGGCTTCAGGACATGTTGCGTGAGACGGTTTTTAACTTCCATCTTTTTCTTCTCTTTCTGAGATAGAAACAGATTTACTGCAACTTTGGATGAAAAACTGGTGTTAAACACCGGTCCAAACCCCACATGTGTGGATTTTCTATGGTTTTCATGACTGAAAAAGCCTCAAAATAACAGTATTTTCTCCAGTCTGCTGGGTGTGTGTGTGTGTGTGTGTAAGTGTGTGTGTGTGCATGCCTGTTGGGATGCACACATTTTCTATGGTTTTCATGACTGAAAAGGCCTCAAAATAACAGTATTTTGTCGAGTCTGCTGAGTGTGTATGTGTGTGTGTTTGTGTGTGTGTGTAAGTGTGTGTGTGTAAGTGTGTGTGTGTGCATGCCTGTTGGGATTTGAGCATTTCACAGTGGTTTATGGCAGGTATCTCCATGCCTAATGGGCTATGTCTGTCAGCCTCTGCTCTCTGGTTCAGAGACCCAGAAGTCGCCTCAAAACGAGCAGCTTTTTTGCCGGTTAATAATAGTCGACTCGGAGTCTGCAAAGGGGACGGCGAGTGACATAGTGATTAATCTCGGGGCAGGAAGTAACACCACTGCTCGGCGCACTTCCTGTAATGCAATGACTGTTTCCTGAAGACACAGTTGGCGTTTCTTTGAAATCAGCTGACCTGCCCCCGTGTTGTAAAGAGGTCTCGGATCGAACGGCTGCTTTTAACCAGGGGTGCGAGCCGCACCACCTTTAATTGACAGACTTTCCAAACGTAGTGAGAAAAACAAGCAAATCCAAAAGTATCACCCACAAAGGATCACATTAGTAATTGTAAAAAGGCCTTTTTTAAATATCTACTTATGCATTTTTTAAGTAAGAAAACTGCTGTTTCAAATTCTTTTACACTTGAAATCTTCCTGTCCACAAAAATGATCTGTTGTACCTAAAATGAGAAAACACTAAGAGGATCCAATAATCGTTTTTATAGTATTTGGAATCCATTAATAGAATATTTTGAAAAGCCCAAGACACTTCCTGAGAATCCCAAAGAGTAAACCACCGAAATCTGATGGCCAAGACCTACAGAAGTTAAACAATTAAGGCTATTCTGTCCCCCTTTGTTATGTATGGTAGGAACATATGTACATATAAGCATATACATAGTTAATGTTGTTTCACTACTCCATGTTTGTATTTGTATTTGTCATGATAACTATTTATTTGTCTTTCCTTTTCTTTATGGTCTATGGTAGATGTGCATATAAATGACTCACTAATGTTTTATTAATTATTGATCTTGTGGTTAGATGCACAGTAGTTCTGAGGGGTGGGGAATGCAATTTTAAATATTCAAAACACCAAAATCTATATCTTGAGCCAAGAATGTTACACTGTTTTGTGTTTTAAAAAAGGAGATTTTGACATTTAAAAAAGAAACCTGCTGTTTTACTGTGAATCCTCCAAACGAGGAGGGCTGTGGTTATTTATGAGTGATAATGATCGGTGATGGTGATCATGTGATGTGACTTTTGTCTGTTTCAGCTCTTCAGTGTGTGGACGAAAAGGCTCCGTGCGTGAACAATGCCACATGTCTGACCCTAAGCAACGGCACCGAGTTCTGCAGGTGAGCCCCCGAACGCCTCGTTTTCCTGCTCTCCCGTTAAAAGCAATCGGAGAAAAACCCGCCCGGCCTCTTCACGGGACCACGGGATACTGCTCGGGCACAAAAGAGAAGAAAAGCCTGCTTTGTCTGACCAGTTGCATCAGATCTGGGAACGACACCAACACACACATCTCCCCTCCAAGATTTCCTTTTGGCTCCGTTTTTCGGGGTTTTATTGCCTATTCTCTTGCTGCTATAGAATATTTGCTCAACATGTTTTATGGCCCACAGAAACAAACGCATTCAGTGTAAAAGAGGGGAAAAAAATCTACAGTGGGGGAAATAAGTATTTGACCCCTTGCTGATTTTGCAGGTTTGCCCACTTACAAAGAATGCAACGATCTATAACTTTAATCATATGTGCATTCTAACAGTGAAAGACAGAATCCCAAAGAAAATTCCAGAAAATCACATCATATGAATTTATAAAAATTGATAACCATCTGATGAGGAAAAAAAAGCATTCTTTGTAAGTGGGCAAACCTGCAAAATCATCAAGGGGTCAAATACTTATTTCCCCCACTTTATATGAAACCCGTCTGACTCAGGCACAAAAACATGCAGTGAATCACTGTTGAGACGTGTCGGAGCGACTTTTGTTTCCCGGTAAATGCCAATTTTGTGTCACCTAAGAGCTGGAAATGGCAGTGAGACCACAGAGGAAGCGTGCCATGCTGGAGAGGATTGCCGAGCCTTCCACTTTCTGACAGCTTAGCCGAGTCTGTAATTTAGTCCCAGCTATCCTTTTAATTGCATCGCCACTCCCAAAGTCAAGTTCCCAAAGAGAAAAAACGCGTCGTAGCTGGATCCTGAACCCGATCGCGTTTCACCGGATCCGATGAGAAGGCTGCTGCTTTTCTGTTCCCAGACTTTTAAGGAATTTCGGCACTTGGCTGAAGCGGCTGTTTAAAAAATTGGGGATGAACCAGCATTCCTCTCCTGGTGTCGAACTCTCCTCTGGAGCTCTCTAATCGAAGGCCGAGGAGGTCTGATAAGGGAGCAAACGTTGGATAGACCACGCCCCCTTTGGGACTGTAGATTTGAGCTCAGAAAGAGGATCTGAGAGAGTCTGAGAAGAGCTGGTTTCACAGAGGTGACATCTGAGGTGGAGGCTGGTTGGGATTGGAAATGAAAGAGTTACCTATTGTCCCTATAATAGCAAATGTGTCATATTTGATTCATACGGTTTCTGAAGTCTTTTGGATCTGAGACTTTGTGCATCAGTCAGTGGTAAAAGCTCAAACCCCTGTTGTACACATTCAGATACAGTGGGGGAACTAAGTATTTGACCCCTTGCTGATTTTGCAGGTTTGCCCACTTACAAAGAATGCTTATTTTTCCTCATCAGATGGTTATCAATTTTTATAAATTCATATGATGGGATTTTCTGAGATTTTCTTTGGAATTCTGTCTTTCAAGATGATACACCTAGTTATGCTTCCTTGCTCTTGTACGTCAGCCATTTAGACCAGCGTTTGTTGTAAGAATGTCCTTTCATACGTAAAAGATATGTCCGTTTTTCCATAGAGTGAATCTCCTCCATGACATCTCGCCAGTGGCCCAGCTGAGGTGGGAGTTTCTTTAGCCAAGACCGTGTAATTGCTTTTTTCTTGCAATTGACAGAACTTTAAAAAGGTACTGATCTTCTTTTTGAAACAGTGGAATTCTGTCTTTCACTGTTAGAATGTACATATGATTAAAGTTATAGATTGTTGCATTCTTTGTAAGTGGGCAAACTTGCAAAATCAGCAAGGGGTCAAATACTTATTTCCCCCACTGTATACCTGATAACAGCCAGTAGAAGACCACACCAAAATATATTTTTGACTTATTGCACACTAATTTGATCAAAATAATTTCAGTTTTCTTTTCTTTATATGTTGTTGAGGGGCCAAAGAAAGACTTCAGACTAAAAAAATCCAATATTCTTCTTATTTTTCTTGGATCAGGCTCTAAAGGGTTATGCGGTGCAGAGGGGATGGTCAGCTGACAGAGAGCATGCTGGCTGTTAGGCTGATTAAGCCGTTGGTTTTCCTGCTAGCAAACAGATCCACGGTCCTACAAACGCACTCTACTTGCACACAAACGCACAAACTTGCTTTTGTCCGGGCCCTTTAGTCCCATCTGCTCCGTCTCTGGTCAAAAGAGCCATTGTTTAAACATAATAATGTGTTTATTAGTCTCTGCCGTGTGTTGAAGAGTCACTGCAGAAGCTCATAATTAGATCACATGAGCCCCATCTGGACAGAGTGACTGATTAAAGGATGATTGGCAGGAAGCTACGGATGGTTCATGCATCCAATCACTTTGGTTTAGGTTTTATAAAAAGCCCTCTTTGTGAAATGAGACCTTGAACCTTCACCTCTCTGTTTCCTGCAGCTTAAACGCTGGCATCCATCAGTGCTTTTTAAATAAAGATGATAAGGAAAGGTTCCCAGTAGGGTTGTCAAAAGTATCGATACTAAAACGTTGAATTCGGATTTGATACTCATTTTCGAAAGTATGGATATTTATTTATTTATTTACGTTGCTATGATCATTCACATGACGTTAGCCTTGAACGTCTAATGGCTAATAACAACACACCAACATTAATCAAATCTGCAGGAAGCCAAGGATGGATATCCAACTCCCCCACATCCAAGTCGGCCATTTTGATTAGGTCACCAATAGGAAGATCCAAAAAGTTAAATTAATCTTGCAAACACTGAATTAAACTCTATCCATAATATTATGTTAAAATAGTATATGTTAAATAGGTTTGTACAATAAGTCCAAACAAATTTAAGCTAATAATATTTATTTCTCACAATTATGAAGGGTTAGGTTTAGGGTCAGGCTTAGGCTTAGGGTTAGGGTAACGGTTAGGGTTAGGTTTAGGGTCAGGGTTAGGTTTAGGGTCAGGGTTAGGGTTAGGGTTAGGGTTAGGTTTAGGTGTAGGGTTAGGGTCATTAATGTGGGCCACCATAACATCAGTAACAGGTCAGTTTGAAACCAAAGACACTAACCTGTCAAAATTCAGTTAAATTTATTTATTTCTTTGTTTTTACCCTTGTGGTTTTGAAAATGGTATTGATTATCAAATATTTTCCCGAGTATCGGTATCCAGTTGAATATTTTAGTATCGTGACAGCCTTAGTTCCCAGGCACGTCGGCTTTGTGGTTAATTTGGAGCTCCCAGAACGGTGCAAAGGATTTTACTAATTCAGTCCTAATTTGAATTCAAACTGATGATAGTATCTTAGCAAAGCGGCCCTGTGTGTGGAGGTGTGTGTGGATGAATGGTGGTTCCTGGGAAAGGTCACCGGCGACTCGATGAAGCCGTCAAACCGGTGGCGCCGCAAGCCGCGGGCTCTGGGTGTGACGGGACTCTGGGCCCGTCCCACATTTTGCGAGTTGCATAGTTTCGCAGACGGGGAATGGAAACCCTGCTGCCGTTTTTTTGCGAGAGAAGATTCCTGATTCTCACGTGGAGCCGGTGAACATGAGGCCACACATGTTACGTTGCCTTATCTCCCAGCACAATGCGTCTTTGTCCTTAGCAGAGCTGGGAGCTGGCGCTTTTCCCTCTCTGCTTTTTCTTACCTCAGTTTTTTTGTTTTTTTTATTTCAAACTTTGTTTATTGAACATTTTGAACATAAGACAGACATTGTTGGAACAAATTCAAAGTGTCAATACAAACTCAATGTCACAGTTCTGTCAACCCCCAACCCACCCACAGGCCAAAAAATAACTTATTAAACAAATGAATTAAAATAAAAAAAAAGTATGAATAAATAAAAAGTATAAAGAGAAAAACATATGAATTTTTTTTATATATATAATAATAAAAAAAAAGCTGTTTAACCGCTTTCCTCTCCATGGCGCTTTTCCCTCTCTGCTTTTTCTTACCTCTGTTTTTTTTTTTGTATTTTTTAAACTTTGTTAATTGAACATTTTGAACATAAGAGAGACATTGTTGGAACAAATTCAAAGTGTCAATACAATCTCAATGTCACAGTTCTGTCAACCCACAACCCACCCACAGGCCAAAAAATAACTTAATAAACAAATTAATTAAAAAATAAAAATAAAAATAAATAAAAATTAAATAAAATAAAGTAAAAATTAAATAAAATTAAATAAAAAGTATAAATAAATAGAAAGTATAAATAGATACAAAGTGTAAATAAATAAAAAGTATAAAGAGAAAAACAGATTAAAAAAAAAAATATATATATATATATATAATTAAAAAAAAATAGATAAGTGTAGATCATGTTAGACATTCAAGTACCCTCTGGGTCAAGAAGATTCAAAGAGTCAAAATATCTACGAAAAGGGTCCCATGTAGCCTGAAATAACTTGATGGAGCCTCTAAGAGAGAACTTCAATCTCTCTATTTGAGGTTGTGAAGCACCTCTCGAATCCCTTACCTCTGTTTTTTTAGGGCTTTTTTTCCCTTAAGCTCCTCTGGAGGAGGATGGGAGAGCGTTGCTGTGTTGTGTGGACCTGCCGCCCCTTTTGATCTGACAGCTAGAATAAACCCGCAGGGCAGACAGAGGAAGAAAAAGGGCCAAAACAAAAGAGGATGTCTGTTTGCAGGTAATTTGAGGAGGAATACCTCGGAGCAAAAAACTCCTAACTAATGATGAGTGAGCAGAGGGACTGAGAGGGGGAGGAAGACTCCGGAGGAGTGAAGAGAGGAGTGTAATTTCCATTTTGTTACGCCTGCTTCATCAAACTGTCACTCAGTCATCCAGGCCTCAGCCTCTCACTCTGCTTCAGGGCACAACTCCCCGGGCCTCCTCTTATTTAATGCCAGTCAGCACAATTTGTTCACCCCCTGTTAACTTTTAGTGGATTTACCTGTGTGGTAATAGAGGAGTTACCCTGTATTAAACAAATACTAGTGGTGGTAGATCCTCACAAGGGATTTTTTTTGCCTTTGTTCCCAGGAATCTTTTAAGTGGTTTCTTGA